GTATTCCATAGCCGTGTTATATTTGATATTTTGTTGTATTCCATAGCCGTGTTATAGTTGATATTTTGTTGTATTCCATAGCTGTGTTATATTTGATATTTTGTCTCCCGGCAGCGAAATTAAAAGTTGCAAAGATAGTAAGGTTATTATTATGTTTACAAATGTTGATGAAGTGACATTTAATTTTTTTTGCGTTTTTGATTTGCGTTACGCACGGACAAAACATAGAGCCACTGATGACGTCATTGAATGTCAAATAAATAAAAAATAATGGTCAATACTATTTATTGAAAAACATGAAGAATCTCAAAGTAATATTGACAAATACATAGAAAATATTAATCAGCAACATTATTCCTCGAAATGGGTTTTGAAATAGACAGTTTGAAAAAAATGAACAATGCCCATTTGGCAACGGTGCACTTGCAATCCACGTGTTCATTGCAAAGTTGAAGATCGTAAATACGTTAGGGCTTAATTTGTTTTGACGATAGTTGTTTTGAAACACCCGCGTTTGATATTTGTATATTTAATGGAGTTTAATTTAATTAAATTTTTATCCCAATGTAGGTATCATAAGTAGAGTCTTACTTTAAAAGGATACTAATTATTTCGATTTCACCCTGTATATAATTACGAAATTATAAAGCATTACTATGATGGTAAAATGATTATTGTATGTTGTTACAGGTCTACAGGTAAAGGAGGTCAAGTGATGGAAAACTTACAGTAATAAATAAAAACAAAAATCAACTAATTGTTTCATTTTGTTCACAGTAAATACTATAATCACAAAAAACACCAACAATCGATAGAACAAGAGAAAATTTAACTGCTTGTTAGAAAGTAGTAATGTAACAATTTGCGCATAACCTCATTTTTCTTAAGGAAAAGCAATGAAGTAGGTATTGAATATTTACATTTTGCTGTTAATACGATTTTCTTTTTTTTTTCCAATATTTATAAGTAATGTGGGATACCGAACTAAGTTGTGTTTTAATAATTTATTTTTGCAAAGCCGTTTGCCGTTTATCAAGACATTTTTGAGATTTGACTAGCTGGTAAAAATCTTTTAGTGGGTTGTAATCGCAAAAAAATAACTACATTTTATTGTCCGCCGGCGCCGTTCAAAATTTATAACGGTCTTGGTTCGTTTAACTGTTTACACTGGAGGATAAGCTTGCTCTAGTAGCATCATTCCTCAATCTTGAGAACCACAGCACCTAGCTTAGATCTGATTGCACTAAAATTTTTTTTATTTGTTTCTAGTCATAACAAAGTACTCTGATTCTACTAGTCATAAAAACCTGATTGAGTGGTTAGCTTAGTTTCTCGGCCGTTTATTGGTGATCCATACCAGCATCGCATTGGTGATCATACTCGATCAGTATTAACACCCAGACATGTATTCAGCTATAAAATAGTACATACATTGTGTATTAAGGACGGTGAATACGACAATACTAACGAGGGCCTATTATAAGCCGCCAAAGGCTGAGGTCTTTTATTCGAGTTTCGTATTTTTTCCCTGTTGTGACATAATGTTTTTCATCATATTTGCGAGGAAATAAATACAATATGGATAGGTAAAGGGAGCAGATTTTCCAGAAGTATGTATTTGCTACTTTCACGAATTAAAGGTATACGCTTCCTGTCTACATTGGTTAAAAAAATCACACAGGCGACCAGCCATCCTGACGGTCACCATGATGGATTGTAAAAAAGTTTGCTAACAGAAAATATTTAATACAATTAAGTATAAATTGAATGGCTTAAGTGTCGTATTCCAGAACTCCACTCAATACTCAAGTCAGGACTTGAGTATTGCAGTGAGCACTGAAAATCATACTCGAGTCCTTGCCATTACGATCGTATTTCCAGTGCTTGAAATCATACTCAAGTCTGCTCAAATCCTGACTTGAGCCTTGAGTAGAGTTCTGGAATACGACCCTTAGTTTCAAAACTTACAGGATGGGAAAAAATAGTCAGTTTTAAAATTAGCCAAATCCACTTTTTTCAGTACCAGACTAAAACTGTTTTTTCCATATGGTAGCCCCCGTTCAAAGTGCGGTTTGGCGCCACTTTGGTTAGTATAATTCAGACGAAATATAAGATTACTCCTATGTAAAAAACTGCTCTAGTCGCATACAAAAATGGTCTAAAATTTAGAATTATCTAATGGATTTGTAAATAAGGTAGGATTTGACTGATATTAAAAGTAACTAACTCAGGATTTGACCGATTTTGAATGTTGCTTAATGGATTTGACCACAGATATGGATTCTATTAAGATATATAAGTATCTATGGATTTGGCCGTTTCTGGTAATGAAGCACTTGAAAGGTTAGAAGTAGGCAGTGGTTTCCTTGTGAATGGGCAACAGTTTGCTTGTCTGAGTTTGATTTAAAGCACTAGAAATCATACTCAAGTCCTGGCTTGAGCATTGAGTAGAGTTCAGGAATACGACTCTAAGTGATGGAATTAAATAAAAACTTTGTTTTAATGAAAAATTCTTAAAAATAAAATTTGAATTTAAAAAATCTAAATCTAAAAACTGCTTAGGTGTAGGTAAATAAGGTCTATATCATTAAATGAGGTGCTGTTTCCAGCATCTCGCACATTGCCTCTTCAATTTTATTTTGTGCTGCTGCTGGTCTGGCAAGAACTACGACCACACTAAAAGAAGAAACAAAACGGCAAAAAAAAAATTGGTAGGAGCTACGATTATATGTCACTCAAACCTGAGGTTGAGCACCCCTTTTTACGAAAGTTGCAAATTGTAAACATGAGTTACTCGAAAAGTTCGCTTAGTGAGCAATTTTTGTTTTTTCAATTGAATTTTGCATCATCACCTTTATTACGGTCGGGTTTCCACAATTAGTAACACTGGGGGTAGCGGGGTATAAATATACCAACCATGTATCTATCATCTATGATACCAACCGTTCTGAACGAGCTCATTCTTCGACCGAGAGTCGAACTATCAACAGCCCCTGAGGATGCCTCGTGGAGAGGCGAAATACGTGTCGGGTATATTTGGTGATGGTATTTGGACTATTTGGAGGGAGGATGGGAAAATTAACTGCATAAAAAATTATTCAACGCAAGCACAGTTATTTTGCACAATTAACTTCCATTTTTATTGACATGGACTTCCGCAAAGTAACGCCTGAATCTATTAATTGCAGACGTATTTATATGCAGATAGGGTTTATTTATTACCAGGACTTATTTACTTCACAAAATTGCGTTAAATCTGCAAATGTCAGCAAAATCTCAGAAATTATGAACATTTAAGGTTTTTTAAGATTGCTGATATCATGTCAAATAACATTAAGTGCATGTATTCCAAATTTAAGTACTGTGTAAGTCTTTTCTATATTTTTATAATAATTGAATATCAAAAATACAAAAATCTCGGAAATTGTGAATATTTAAGTTTTTAATCGACTTCAAAAAAGGAGGAGGTTCTCAATTCGTCTGTATGTTTTTTGTTTTGTATGTATGTTACGCGATAACTCCGGTATTTGTGAACCGATTTTAATGATTTTTTTTTTGTTGGAAAAGGGATACTTCCATAGTGGTCCCATTTTATTTTGAAGAAAATCATCCACCTCGAAGGGTGGCTGTTCACGCATGAAGATTCATTTTTTATAAATAGCGCCTAACGTTAATTTACGAGCAATTACTATAATAGTTGATTTTGCTATTTCTATTATTTATATTATTTGCTATTATGATTTTATTATTTAAATTGTAATATTAATTTTTATTCAATCGGAAAATTGAACTTTAGTCAATTCTTTCCCATGTCGTTTTAAAATTTTGCTGTTTAATTTTTTTGGCTTGCCGATTTTCTCAAACAATATAGCTCCTTACCAATACACCTGTATTATTAAGTTATCATTTGAATAAGTTTAAATATCAATGATTTAATTTCTCAACTTCGGTCACTGGTAATAAGTATCAACACAGGACATATTTGTATGCAAGTAGGGGTATATTATACCGTACTCATTTACTACACTAAATTCCGTTAAATCTGCAAATGTCAGTAAAATCAGAAATTGTGAGTGTTTAAGATTTTTAAAGATTGCTCGTATAATGTCAAATAACATTAAGTGCATGTATTCCAAATTTGAGTAACGTGTCTTTTCTGTAAATATTTGAATATCAAAAATACACTGTGCTTGCCAGTAAACATTGTAATTTGCAAATTATTATAGTCATTGTAATCGAGGAAAAGTACCCGTTATCGAAATTCATTTTTACTCAATCCAAAAATGAACTTTAATAAATTTTGGTGATTTTTTCAAAACGTATAATCCTTACCAATACACCTGTATTCTTAAGTTAGTTTAAATAATTGATTTAGTACGTTTGATTATTTTGATTGAACGTGTTTTTATATCGAGTTCTTAGGTTTTCGCGATTGTTACACACAGGAAATGAAACTATTTTACCGGATTTAAATCGCGTATATTTGTATTTTCAAACAAACCTGGTTTGTTTGAAAAATAAATATACGCGATTTAAATCCGGAAAAATTGTTTCATTTCCTAAATGTCTTTATATTTTGCGCCATACATTTGACCTTTATTTCGTCTGTTTCTGTTATAGAAACATTAAAATAAAGATCAAATGAGGAAACGCATACACTACATATATTATTAAATATGTGTAGTGTATGTACGTTTCCCTATTTCATCTTTATATTCTATAACTAGGTGTAATAATAATGGAAATCCCGCGCTAGGTGGTTCGAATTTGTTTAAAAATTCCCGCCTTTATGAAAATGTATATTCCCGCTTCCTATTATTTAACCCCCCTTATTATCAAGTGTTTACAATTACGGTTTCGTTTTTTTTGTATGAAATCGCTTTTCTTCTTGTGAGTATAGTGTTCTGTGGTACAAAGGCACTTAAGCCTTTGTCTTTTCCAATGGAAAAAACAGAACCAAAAAAAAAATCAACTGTCAGCCTGTTCTGTCAGCTGGTCTCTAAAGTTTCAAGCGATTTATCTTTTTGTCTCGTAAATAAAAAATAATTTTCATAGATTCAAGGCGGTAGAAAGATTTTTTTTTAACAATTATGTCTTTTTACTTCCATGTCCTCATTCCTAGGTAATTGCTTCAGTAGATTTTTGGCATCTTTAAAGGGTGCGGGGAGCGGCACTTAATAGCCGAACCACAATGGGGTCCCGGGACCGGGATACAAAGTCGCTGCAGGACAAGCTGAAAGTGTTCTTCAAGAAAGGTGAGCAGAACTGGTTCAGTTCTATGGATGACAGGGAGGCAGGCAAGATGTGACGGGTGCAAATTGCAGGCGCGGCTCCGGCGCGAGGCGAGCTGTCGCTCACACCGGAGCTGGAGCGCGAGTTGTCGGCCGACACGCCGCTGCCGCGCCGCTTGCGCGCCGCGAAGGACCTCGCCGACCGCGCGCCGCACTCTCGCATGCAGGACGTAAGTTTTGCTAACAGTCGACCTTTTCACTTGATTTGGGTTGATCATTAACATCCATTTTCTCAGTTCATTGTAATGTGAGCTATTCATTTAAATCAATATTGAAAACAATTTGAGACAAAGTCAAAATACTACAGTGGTAGTAATATACCATAATGTGACCATTTCTCAAAATAATTGTATGTAACGAAAAGCATGTTATAAAATACTACAAAAAAATTTAACATTGGCAAAATATAATTGATTTAATCACTATGGCATTAAGTAATAGTAGGCAATAAATAAATTAATATGGTAAAAAGCAAATAATAAATAATATTCAAATATATTTTCGTCTTAAAACTAATATTAACATTTTTGAGAATACAGTTTGGTTTCTTACTTAAATCATAAAATTATACTCTAATCATACTTAATGCAATTGGTACGTAAAAATCTAAAGGTAGATACTATCTTCATCGTTCATCAGCATGTATTCCATGGGAAGGTCAGATATATGAAGTAATTCAGTTTGTTTTTGGAGGCATTCCTAGAAAATTTTGGTTTGAGTCAATTGGTCGAAATTATACGAACTTAGAATTTTTTTGAATTTTTTAAAATACTATGTTTCGTTACATACTTATTTACATATACATTTAATTTTTTGCATATTACATAAATTTTTAGTATGAAACTGCATATCAAACCACTTTAATACAGAAACTACATTCAATCAAGATCTGTAATACAAAAACATGCACATTATTATTGTGACATTTTGTATTTTATGAAGTGACAAACGTTTGGGGTAAGGTAGTGCCAATTTTAGTTTTGAATGAAGAGTGAAAAACATTGTTATGAAAAATCAAATCAAATCAAATCATTTTATTCATCATCATGGGTACCATAAAGATGATATCATTTATTTTATGATCGCCATGACGTACCATCAAGGCCACTGACTTACAAACAAATGGACGACGGGTCTAATACAAAAACCACGAAAAAAATGTCCCAAGTCAACCTATTTAAACGTAGTGACATGTAAAGATTTTTTTATTATTATTATTATTATTAAAGGAATATGAAAAAGCTAAAACGTTGAATTTAAATTGTAATGTCATCGCAGTACTGTCTAATTTTGCTTGCTTCGCTGTCAATCGAACAAATGAAGACTAAAGCGTGAATGACGCTCTGTATACGATTTTAACGCCCTATAAGTTCGGACACTTTTTAGCGCGGACCCGACGTCCATATAATTGTAAGTCAATGATCAAGGCATATGAATTATACTATTATTATTAATTATACTTGTCCAATACTTCCAAATAATAATAATAATAAAATGACACTAATAATAATCATTAAATAGTCATAAACCAGTGATTATAGGCTTCCACCTTCACAGGACCAAGTCTTAAAATCTACAACAGTTAGGACATCAAAACAAAAGTAATTTAATTAAGATAATAATCAATGTAAATTAATCAATGTCATACAGTGACGTTTGTCTCAATAATAAATAATTAATTAATTAATGTGAAATTAGTTAACAAAATTTTTTTAATGCATGCATTGACTTACAAATAAATGGACGACGGGTCTAATACAAAAACCACGAAAAAAATGTCCCAAGTCAACCTATCCGAAATTTAAATTGTAATGTCATCGCAGTATCGCGCTGTCAGTCGAACAAATGAAGACTAAAGCGGAGTTTGGCGCTCTGTATACGATTTTAGCGCGTTACAAGTGCGGACACTTTTTAGCGCGGACCCGACGTCCATAGAATTGTAAGTCAATGAATGCATGAAATGAATTTTCAATTAAATACTCAAATAATGTGCGTTTAAATTTTGCAAAATTTTCATTCTGCCTTACCTGTAATGGCAAATTATTATAGATTTTTGGTGCCATTGCAATTATACTCTTCTCAAATAATGACATTAAAAATAATTAACATTCATCGTAGTATTAAAAATTAACATGTTTTTATTTTAATTTTCCTATTTATTTTTGTATGACTGAATAACAACATTGTATTTTTGTTTAGTATTTCGGGGCACACCCCTTTTTTTTTTGTAAATGTTTATATATTTTGAGAAATATATTTGAGAGATTTTGCAGTAAAGATATGCACAACGTTTTCATGTCCTTAGTTGTGAATTTGCTATGACACACCCACTACTCCATTTAATATGTTGAAGTGCTTGAAAAAGTTGGGTTTCTATAGTAGGACAATCAGTTGTGAGCTATTTTTAAAATATATGTGCAATCGGCGACGACGCACATAAAGAGGAAGAATATGGTGGAATTTGCAAATATGCAGATAAACGAGTTCGTTACAAGTATTCGTTCATATATTACGATAAAGATTCATCAGTTTTCTGTTTCGCTACTAAGGAAACATGCAAAATGAACTAGTCACATATACATACATAAGGTAATAGGTCCGAAACGTAGGCGCGGTTAATAAGATGACGGGTCTACGACGCCACGTCTTTCGAGCGTGTCGTCTCCCGTGGAAGCCGTTGCCTTCCGCCGGAGACGAGGGTCGGGGCCGCGGGAGACTGAGGGTCGCCGGGCCGTGCCGCAGGGCGTGGCGGAGCGCGTGTGGCGCTGCACGCGGGACCTGCTGGAGGAGGAGGGCGCGGAGGCGCGCCACGGCGAGCTGGCGCTGCTGCGCGCGCTGGCCGACGCGCTGCAAGAGCGGCCGGGCGCCATGCGCACCGTGCTGTTCCGCTACCTGCGCGAGACGCACGCCGGCCACGCGCCCGAGGACGCGGCGCCGCGCTTCCGCCTGCTGCACGCGCTCACCGGCAACGGCAAGAACATCGCGTGCTTCGAGGAGCAGGTCCGCGACCGCCGCGACCGCCGCCTCGCCCCGGGCGGCGCCGCTGACGCGCCCTCGCCCGCAGATCGGAGCGTTCCTCGTCGAGTGGGCGCCCCGCATTCAGCAACCGCCGCTGCTGGTGGAGTGCCTGCAGCTGGTGACCAACGTGGTGAAGTACAACGCGAGCTCGCTCGACGAGGACGTGGTGTGCGGGATCGTGGACGTGGCGTGCGGCGTGTGCTGCGGCCGCGGCGCGGAGGGCGCGGTGGGCGCCGGCGTGGCGCTGCTGGAGGCCGTGGCCTCGTACTCGCTGCTGCCGCGCGCCGCGCTGCGGGCCTTCGTCGCCACGCTGGCGCGCACCGTCAACCTGGAGCAGCACGCGCAGAGCAGCTGGAAGGTGCGGCCGCCGTCCGCCGCCCGCCGCCCGAGCCGGTCGGGCGCGGCCGCCGCTAACGCGTTCGCCGGTCGCGCAGCTGATGCGGCAGGTGCTGGGGGCCGACATCGGCTACGCGGCGCTGCACGAGCTGGTGGAGCTGCTGCACGAGGGCGACGCCGAGGCGGGGCTGGCGCGCGGCTGCGTCTTCTACGTCAGCATGGCGCTGTGGGGGCCGCGGCGCGTGCCCACGCTGCGCGTGTCGCACCTGGCCGTGCTGCCCGCCTTCCTCAAGGTGCCCGCCGAGACCTCGCGCGGCCCGGGCTCGCGCGGCGGCGGCTGACGCGATTCGCCGTTTCGCAGGCGCTGGAGCTGCGCGCGCCGGTGGTGACGTACGAGGTGGTGCTGGCGCTGCAGGTGCTCGTGACGCGCGCGCCGCACGAGCTGCACGAGCCGGCCTGGGAAGCCGTGCTGGACGTCCTGCGCGCCGTGCACGAGCACGACCGTGAGTGCCCGCCCGCCGCCCGGCCGCGCGGCGGGCGGGCCCCTCACGGCGCCGCCGGCCCGCAGGCGAGCTGCGGCCGCGCAACGAGCCGCTGCACGCGCGGCTGCACGCCGTGATCACGAGCGTGGAGCAGCTGCAGCAGGCGGGCCAGCTGGGCGGCGCGGCGGCAGCGCTGCTGGAGCTGCTGGACGCCTGCGGCCACG